CTACACTGATGATACTCCAACAGTCCTAAGTCCTCAAGATTTCTTTCCAGAGAAGACACGAGAAATCGTTTTGAGCACCAACATCAGTGAATTCAGTCTCAACTCATTCACTGCCATTGAGTGGATTCCAACTCATAGTGACCTTAGAGCGGAGAGCAGAACTGCTCCTGTGGGTTTCCGAGGCTATAACTCCTTCCAGATAAAAAGCCTCATCTTTCCCCTACAGGGCAACTGATGGTTTCAAACTGCTGACTTTCTGGTTAGCAACCCAACATGGAACCCGCTACACCATGAGGAATCCTCATCTGGGAGCTCTCAGAGGGTCTGCTGCCAAGGAGTCACTCAGACTTCGAGTGCAGAGATGTGCTGGTCGGTCCATGGCATAATTTTCTCAACCGCAGCCATATTCCTTCCAAATCGCATCTCGTAAATCTTTCGGGTTAGAGTACAAGAGTGATAGTGCATGCAGCCTGACAGTTAGAAGGACCTGTCCTCACCCCACCAACAGAAGTGCCTGTCAAACAGGCCGTGGTGAGGCGAGCTTGCTTTGTCAAGGCTCTGGGTATGTTGGAGTGCGTGGGCGGTATAGATGGTTCATGTGCTCAGCTGCTCATGGGCAGGTTAGTCGTCTGAGTGCACCCAGGGACACCTTGTAAAAAAGGCCTGAAGATCTCCTTCTGCACACTCCTATGGAGTCCATGGAGCCCAGAGTGACTCCGACATACACGGGACTTCCTTGAGTAGAGGCCACCTCAGCACGATGATGGTTCCGGGTTTGCTGGGTTTGTTTGAGGGTGGGTGCATGCTGGGACCTGTCTTGGTGGCTTTCAAGAAAAGAAAATGATGCAAAGTAGTGGAGGGAGGGTGCACAGGTGTGAATAGGACCCAGAGAGGTTAGGACAAGGGAATACTCCCCAAACTCATCTGCCTTGCAAGAACAGGCTTAAAAAAAACCTCTGCTACCATACATATTTCATTTTATAGTAAATTACATCAATTTTTTTACATACAGACTCCATTCTTTTCCATCAAAACCTTTTCGCAAGTGATCCTGACTCCTTTTACATCAGGTAGAATACGTACACGACCATACCAGAAACCACCATTTTAACTCAGTGCGTTCATTCTAGGGCACCCATTAGGGTTAACACAGCAGTTCACCGAATTAGAAAGAAGGAAGAGTGGTGTTTCTGCTGCCAGGAAAAGTAAAGTAGAAAGGAAATCCAAAAATGTATGATGGGGGACCAAGAACTGCATCCCTCTCTCCTTCTGACCCTTTGGTCACAAGCAGTAATCCTGGCAGGCACAGGCAGAGCGATGCATAATGGTTAATTTTATGTGTTAACTTAGCTTGACTCTGGGGCTCAGTTATTTGGTCAAACACTAATCTAGATGTTGGTGGGCCTTATCCAATCAGTTGAAGGTCTTAAGAGCAAAAGCGAAGTGTCTAGAAAAAGACAGAGTGATGTCAAGAGACGGTAACATAGAAATCCTTGCTGGAGTTCCCAACTGGACTGGCCTAAGGATTTTGGACTTTCTAGCCCTCACAATTATGTGATTCAATTTCTTAAAATCCATCTTTCTTTGCTTCTCTCTTGGTTATATTTCTCTAGAAAACCCAAACGAATACGAGGGACAAGGAGAACTGGGTATAGAAGAATGATCTAGGAGGTTGAAGTCTGTACATCAAATCAAGACAGGGATCGCTATGAAAGGCTATGAAGCCTTGGTTTCAATAGTTTCGACTCTGGCTTGAGGATCCCTGGTGGCGCAGTGGTTATGTGTTAGGCTGTGCTCTACAGGGCCAGCAGTTTGAAACTACCAGCCACTCCTTGGGAGAAAGACAGGGCTTCCAACTCTTGTTAACAGTTACCATCTCAGAAGCTCACAGGGCAATTCTATCCTGTCCTGTAAGGTTGCTATAAGTTGGCATTGACTCGATGGCAGTGAGTGCGTAAGCAAGCTCAGAATTGAGTAATTTTGGATAGTATTGCACACCACGAAATATTATTCTTTTAATCACTTTTAAAAATGTCTTCCTGTGCCTCCTTTCTCTTGACTGTACAGTTTATCTTCCATAATTGCTTCCCATTGCTGCTTTCATTGCCTCTTCCAGATTGAGAGTACATTGCCTTGAGCCCTTTGGAGAAATCCACTCACCTCATGGAATAGATTCCAGTTCATCGTGACCCTACAGGACAGAGGAGAACCGCCCCTTTATGGAAACAGAGAGCTGTGTGGTTAGCAGCCCCAAGCGTAAACACTACATCATTAGAGCCCCTTTCCAGTCCTCAAGGAATGCATATTTGCTCCTGAGAGACCATGCACAGTCTGCCTTCAAATAAACTGAGGATGGGTCACTAGCGCCAACCGCAACTTGTCACTGCCACCAAGTCCATTCAGAGTGTGGGTTTCCGAGGCAGGGAGCTTCCTCTTTCTCCCAAGGAATGACTGGTGGGTTCAAAATGCTGATCTTGTCGTCATCTGTCCAATGCTATGTCTGGCACCTGCGGCACATCACTGCCCTATGCTGTAGTGACTGCAGTCGGCCTGTGTGTCCCTGTGTGGGTCAGGGGATGTGTGCCCATCAACACAGGGGTTTGTGATTTTAGAAAAAGAGGACATAGTTGTTGGTGAGCTGACTATGGGTGGTGCATGGGGACCTCGCATGTGCCATAGGACAATGGCATACCATAGAGTTTGCAACGGCTGCTTTTTCAGAAGCAAATCATCGCCAGGCCTGGCATCTGAAGTGCCTTGGGGTAGACCTAAACCACCAACATTTTGGTCAGCAGCTGAGTGCATTAACCATGTGTGACAGCCAGGGATGCCGTGGGCAGCGGAGAAGCTCAGCTGGTCTGCTCTCATAGGCCAGCTAACATGGATATTGCTTCATATTTCCTTCAGTACCCATGTGTTCTTTTTGACCAAATGTTTCCACCGACAGGTCTTGTTCCCTTCTATTTATCTCACTGCCATCGAGTCGATGCCGACTCATAGCGACACCATAGAACATGGTAGAACTATCCCTGTGGGTTTCCCAGACTGTTAGTTACTCTTTATGGGGGTAGGAAGCCTAGCCTTTCACTTGATGAGCTGTTGGTGGTTTCAAACTGTCCTCAGGTAAAGGAGTCTCCTATGATTAAATGTATATTCCTGAGAAACTTAAAAAAATCTCCTTTGACACTATTCCCTAGTTCCATCATTGCGTTAGGTCAGTAATACAAGTACTGGTTAATTATAACCTGATGTCCCCAACTATGTACTTTGTGAACTGCATGTCCCTTATGCGGGCTGCAAACATGCTGACTTTATTTTTTCCCCTTCTTTCCTTCTTCTTTTTCCCCCTTGCTCTCACTTTCCTAAATAGTATATATCAATACTAAAAGTTGTCTGGGGGAAAAAAACTGGTATTGCAGCAGTACAAATGGTAGTTTGGAATTAGAGCTTTTTCTCTTTGGAGACTCTTGGTTATTATTGCATTCACTATCCTAAGCTACCTAAAGCTAATAAATTGAAGTGGTGTGTTTTTTTTTAAATTGTATTCAGTTATGAGAGTTGAATTGTACAAGTGTCCATTTGATGAGTTTTTGGATTCATTCAAATTTAGCAGGCTTTGGATTCCACGGTCAGGTCCACATTCATCATGAAAGTCTACTGGACCCAAAAGAGTTCAAATGAGCACAAGTCCATCAAAATGTCACTGCTTCACACCACACGAGCCTGCACAGAAGGTCTTAGCGCCAGTGCAGTGACCTTTTTCCAATACGGCTCTTCTAGTCATGGTTTTTGACACTCCCTCCAAAGGACTCTTCCTTGATGGGTCTGGGAAAGAAGCTGGCGGAAGCTGTTGACAGGATTATATGATTCTGCCCTGATTGATTTTTAACACAGTTGATTGTGATTTCCATTCTGCTGGGTATAGAACGAGCCATCTCGGAAGCAGGAAGGAGGGAATTTTACTACCAGAAAAAGAAACGTGACTATCAACCAGAAACCTCTTCTGCATACTGTAAACTAGATGCCATAAATAATATAATAAATAACAAATGATAATTGTAACGTCCAAAATGTTTTACTATATTTTCCCTTTTTCGTTTAATAAATTGGGTAATACGAGTGTAAAAAAAGAAAAGAAAAGAAAAAGAAACGTGAAAAGCTTGGAGTGGAGTACGAACTTTCTTGATCCAGAGACAGGTGTGACACCAGCGGAGGAGTAGAGGAGCAGCAGCAACAACAGAAGCAGAGAGCAGAGCTACATAGGCTGGGACACTTCATTGGGAGAACTCAGATTGCTAACCCACTGAACCAGAGCAGAGTGCCTTCACGCTAAAGCTAATGGGTGACTGACATTGATGTCACCGACTCTCTATGTGAAGATGGTAGAAATAGCACATGCTCTGCTATCAACGTAGCACAACCCAAAGGTAGCCTAGTGCCTTCGACGTAGTTCACTCATAGCTAATGATTGGAGGGAGTCTCGGTGTCCCACTGGTGAATGTGCTCCACTGTGAACCAAAAGGTCAGTAGTCTGAACCCACTGGCCTCTCTGCAGGAAGATGTGGTCGTCAGCTTCAGGAAAGAAGTTGTGCTACTCTGCCCCTGGAGTCACCCTGAGTCTGAATCGACTCGAAGGTGCCACATTTGGATTTTTTGTTTTCTTAGTATGCTGATGATTTCTTCGAGGCCAATAAAGAAAGGCCCACATCACGAAGAGGTAGAAGAAGCCAAGGGCAGAATGACAGAGTTGCTTCACAGGCTAGACAGTATAAAATGCCACTGAGCACATATTTTAAACTCGGCAGGGGTTAGAAACTGCCAGCATCTCACAGATCCTACATGGGTTGGGGTAGGCTCTTTCTTTTTTTCCCTCAGACTTTTACTTGTGAGACGTCATGGAGGCTGAGAGAAGACATCATTAACCTTGTGATGACTATCTGAAGAGCCATCCTCAGATATTGCGATATTAACAGTGAAAACCAAACCAAACCCAAGATCACCTCTGCACGAGTTCCTGTCCATTCCAGCAAAGGGTGTCGTTCTCGGCCACAGGGCTGTGGCTGCAGACGTAGCCGGGCAGAGCATTGTAGAAGCTGATGAAAGATTTCAACTTCTGAATTAGCTCCCTGGAAGAAAGGAAGAAACAAAAACATCTTCGTGTAAGAGGTAAGTGCGCCCAGTGTGAATAAAGTTTCATTTCCTTATCAGCATGACAGAAAGGCTCTGCCACGCTGAGTAGAGCAATAAATGACCTTTACAGACATTCTTGACTACAAGGCTACAAATTAGGTTGGTTGCTGTTTTTCTTTTTTTAATCAATAGACTGATATTAGAAAAGAGGAGCGCTGTTCCTATCAGGAAGAGGATTTAATTCTAATCTCCATTTTTGAACACTTTCTGCTGTTTTTCCTTTTTTTTTGGTTTAGCAGGCTTGTTAGCTCTGTACTCAGAGGTGCTGATTACAAGGCACAACTGAATGCTACATATCTTTTGGTTTCTGAGTGTAATTGAATGCATTGATTGTAATTTACAATGCTATTACCCTAGAGATAGCCCCTTTTCATAGAGGCTCCTGCTAATAATGGCTGCAGAGCAGAGAGGCACAGGGTGCCTAGCAGTAGCCATCTATGCAATTTGCCTGACAATAGAGGCAGAGGAACTCACCCCTGTGGGAAGATGATGGTTTCTTTGTTCTCTGTATATTGTAATGGGACAGCTGGATTGGGGGGCAGGTAGGAGGAAATTCTATCTTCTCATTTATTGCCTTTATTTTGTATGCTATGCTGTGTCCTGATAGCGTAATCATTAGGTGGGTGTGAACCCACACAGTGAATCTGGGCCATAAGTTCTCAAACTTTGCCCTGCCGCCTCCATTTCAGGAAAGGAAAAAAAAAAAAGACTTAGCACCTGCCTGGCAATTAAAACTGCTATCAAGTCAATTTCAACTCGTAGGAACTCTACAGGACAGGGTAGAACTGCCATTGTGGGTTTCTGAGACTGTAACTCTTTTGGAAGCACTATAGGACAGAATGTTGTAAGCCGCTTTTGCACGTTCCCCTGGATCTTTCCAGTAGCCCCTAGGGGGCAGTGTCGCCCATTTTGGGAATTAGGGCTCTAGAGGATCTGCTCCCCGCCTCCAGATTTGCAGTTTAGGAAACCCTCTGGGGCAGATCTACACTGTCACATGGGGTCACATGGCCCTGGCAGGACTTAATAGCAATCACATCATGACCAGCACACCTCTGCATATCTATATGCTTGTAAAAGAGAAAGAGAACTATATTACATATGCAAATGTATAAACATACATTTCTGGTGTGCTATCTTCATATACAGAAAGTGAAAAACCAAACACATTGCTGTGGAGTGAACTGTGACTCTCTAGGACAGAGTAGAATTAACCTTATTGGTTTCAGAGAGTGTAACTCTTTGTAGGGGTAGAAAGCCTCATCGTTCTCCCACACAGTGGGTAGTGGGACTGAACTGCTGATCTTGAGGTTAGCAGTCCAACATATAACCCACTACATCACTAGGGTCCACCTTTCCAGGAAAAAACACACATGCACATGGGCACACAAAATAAGACACAGCAGACAGGAGAGATGTGGATACGCTTATAAAAAGAAACGCTCTATTTCATCTATTTCATAGATGTCCAGTGGTTAAGCACCTAAACCTAGACCTTTCTGAAAGCCATGCTTCTGCTAGGAGGAAAACGAAAGTTTTCTGCACCTCCCAGTCTACCCCGGGTCTCTATTAAGGTCAGAGAATTTGTAAGCAGTGGAGTAATTATTCAGTACTGGCTACAGGCTGAGAATGGAAAAGGCAGAGGCTTGAATCTCATTAGGTCACAAGCAGAAACCCGGAGCCCAGAACTGGCCCCTAAAAGAGGAAGAAGGCTGGCAGAAGTAACTTTTTTTTGTTATTATTAAATGCTATTTTCCATTTTATTACCATAAGATGATTGACCTCGAATAATGGATTTTTTTAAAGACAAAAAAAAAAAAAGATATTACAGCACTCAACACACAACTTTCCAAAGGTTTCGGTCACAGCAAAACCCAAACCAAATTTAGGACAATGGAAAAAAAGAGGTCAAGAAAGGCTGTTAAGTTTAATTCAACTCAAGGTGAAGCCATGTGTTACAAAATAAAACTGCTCCATAGGCTTGTGTTGTTTATATAATCTTTATGGAGAAGAGCCCGGGTGGGGATGTTGAGTAAGTGTTGGCTGGGCAATTGTAAGGTCAGTAGTTCAAACCCAGCAGCTGCAGCAAAGGGTGAAAGATGAGGCTTTTTGCTAGTGTAAAGATTTATAGCCTCAGAAATCTTACATAGGATCACTAATGGGTCAGGATTGACTTGCTGGCAATGGGGGTAATCTTTATGCAAGCTGACTGCCAGGCCTTTCTTTGGCAGCATGAATGGGTAATTTGAATGGCCAACTGCTAGCGAGTATGTTGGGACATAATAACCAACGTGAATTTCAAATGTCAGGTGCTCCCCCCATGTGAAAACAGGTCAAATCTAAACTTATCTGAGTCACAGTTTACCTATGCGGAAAATGATGGTACCTATCTCATAAGGTTACTGTGCTGATTAAATGAGGTAGAGCATGTAAAGTGCTTAGCACAAAGTAACCCCCACCCCCAACACAATGTTCGCTATTACCAATTGTAATGGTTAAATGTCTGTGTCAACTTGGCTAGGTTATGCTTCTCAGTGGTTTTGGCAGATTTGGTGTGCTTCCATAATATAATGTAATCATCTTCCATGATGTGATCAGCCAGTCACCCTTGGGGTGTGGCCTGATTCCCTTATATAAATGGAAGTCCTGGTGAAGCTCATTCTCTTCACCCTGCACTCATATCAACTGACTTCTCGTCCTTGGGACACAAGCCTACAACAGCAATAGCAATAACAACAAAAACCAAACTCACTGTCCAGTCAATTCCAAATCATAATGATTCTTTTTTAGTTCAAAGTCTGTTTATTGACCTTTAGAAGTATTTTCCTGTCAGGCCTGGTGGGGTGCCATGCCCTAGCCCCAAAGTCTATTTTTGGCACTTCCTCAGGACTTCGTTGCTCTGCTCCCCTTGCTGTTCTGTTGCACTCCCTTAGTGTTTTGCCTCAGTGTGGTGGGGTCAGATTGGGTGCAATTCCCACACTGTGTCTCCAGTGTTGTCCCCCGTAGGGCTATGGGTCAGTGAGGGATATCATAGACATGTTATAAATCTTCATGGGAGCAGTCAGCCTCTTCTCCTTCCCTCAGAGCAGCTAGTTTGAGGCAACAATCTAGCCCGTAACACCACAGGGTTAGTTTTTAACCGTGCCAGGGCAGAAGCCACCTAGCCGGCAGGGCAGCAGTGTGGCCATTATCAGAGGTCCCCGCCCCCTAACACCCTCAGAGACTCGGCACAGAATGATCTTATTGGACAGAGTAGAACTGTCCTTTTGTGTTTCAAAGGCTGTAAATCTTTAGACAAGTAGACAACCTCATCTTTCTCCCACTTATATCCACTAGGTGTCCATTATATTCAATAAAAACAATAAACAGGCAAAGATGTACTCCTTCCCCTCCAAAAAGAAGTGCTAGAAAGAATGTGGGAAATTGGAATGCTCATGCATTGTTGGTAGGAATATAAACATGGTGCAGCTGCTGTGGAAAAGTCTGGCAGTTCTTAACTAGTTAAATATAAAACTGCCAAATGATCCAGCAATTCCACTCCTAATTATATACCCTAAAGAGCCAAAAATATGTTCACACAAAACTTATGCATATAAAACTATTTTTTAAAAAACAAAAAAGGTTGGATGACATGAAAGGACAAATATCATGTGAGACCACTATTATAAGGGTATGTGTGAATACATGCTCAGGGCAGTATTATTTATAATAGCCCCAATGTGGAGAGAACCCAAATATCCATCAACTGATGAATGACTAGCCATTCATTGGATGTGGTCTATTCTTCTATCCCTTTAATAAGTACTCTTCCATAACAAGAAATGAAGTCCTGCTAAACGCCACAACATGAGTCAAGATTACAAATAGTATGCTACCCGAAAGAAGCCAACCAGCCAAATTCATAGAGACATAAAGTAGATAAGTGGTTGCTTGGGGGGTTGGGATGAGGGTTTGGGGGTGATAGCTAAAAGGTAAAGGGTCTATTTCTGAGGGGATGAAAATGTTCTAAGGTTGATTGTGGTCATGGTTGCACAAATCCGAATATACCCCAAATAACAGCACCATACATGTTAAATGGGTGAATTCTGATATGCAAATGATTTCTGAATAAAGCTGTTATCCACCCCCGCTCCCCCAAAAAAAAGGTAGAGAAGAGGGTTGTCGACTGGTAGGAGGGTGCAGGGAGAGGGATGCTCCTGGGAACAATGGAAGGAGAAATCAGGAGAACAGGCAGAGAGCGGCCTGGGTCTTGGTTTGGCTGGGCTTTTGGTAGAACGGCAACTTCAGCAGTGGAAAAGCTGTAAGCAGTGGTTACAGTTCCTTACAATACAGACCTTTACAATAAGGTCTGTTGGGTTGCTTTCTTATTTACAGAGATTTTAGAAGCTACAGAAAGGTTGACCAAGAAAAAAACAACACATTCAGAGGCCATCGCTGTTAATCTTTGGGTTATTAATATTCTCTTCCAGACTTTTCTCTTGAGTAGAGTTTCATTTTATTTCCCTAAACCTGATTACTTCTTGATAAGGTGTGTTCCCCAAGTTCTTGTTGATTCTCAGTGTACATGACCCCCATCGGAAGCCGCCTAGAATCCAAAGTGGGATTGATTAGAAAAGCACCGCAGCATTCTAAATAAATGCCAGCACCCCAATGACCCCCAGGCTCAGTGGAAGGAGGGAACAAAGAGCAGGGCTCCAAGACAGCTAGCAAATTGACCAATGGCTCTGAGTCCCAAAGGCCACTTTGACAAGCCAGACCACTCCTTTTATGCACACCCTTCTGAGTATGGTGGGAAAAGAAACCTTCATTTCCCAAAGAATCACTAATTCTGGAAAATAAATTTAGACATACCAGGGTAGGAGAAACACCCTCTCCCCCCGCCCTACCACCACCTCTCTAAAGCGTTGGGGAGTTAATGGCAACAGGTGCTAATGTCCTC